ACCCTATCACACCCTATCATCCAGTTGTGGTCTTTAAGTATTGTTTTGTTTGCTTTACTGATGAGTTCATCACTTCTATTTATAGTTTTCCTTGTTAGTTTTACAAATTTACTTGAGGATTTTGGGGTTTTGAGTCTTGACTTATTTTAATATTTTTTGCAATTTGGGATTTACCATGCAGTGCACTTATCTATGTTCATGTTTTTCAGCTTTTCATATCAATGAAGTTCTTAACTTTTGAATTTTTATAGTTACTTATCAGCCCCCATTTTCTGAGATAGTCTGTTTCAGCTCTTATAATTCCATTTTTAAACAGTTGGATATTTGTTGTTGTTCTGTTGCAGTTTTCTTTCTTTTGTTTGCCAGTTTAATCTTCTCCACCTGTTCATGCCTGTCACACTAATCATGTTATTCAGTTAACTTGCTTATGCTAATTAGTTAAGAGCTGTGCAATCCCATTTATACTTGTCAGTTTACCCTTTACTGGTTAATAATGGGTTCCATGCCATGATTTGACTGCTTTGCCACACCAGGTCTTTATATGTCAATGTTTGCCACATTGCTCCATTCCCGTTTGGACAACTTTTTTAAGCCTTCAAGATGGCTGTGTGGATAACTGCTGTGGCTTCCGAACTGCTGTTCTTCTTCATGATTTTGTTTGTGTTTTCACTCCTCTGGACATAATCCAGTACAGTGATGATGAACTGCTGGAATTGTCGAAAAACACAAACAAAATCCCAACCTAAACTGCAACTTTTCAAAGCGAATCCTAACATCTCCCATCCGAGGAGGAAGAAACAGAGAAGGCAATGCAAACAGAAGAGAGTTAAGCATGGCGGGCAGCGGACCGGGCAAAAGGCTAAGGGTTGGGCATACACTGTCTGATTTTTTGCCCTTTTTCAGGCTGATTCTCCAGTCGTGCAGGAATTTCTTGGATCGGGCAGTTTCAGCCTCATTGTGGGTCCTGCGTCGTGCAGTATATAGGTGGTAACTAGGGGAGATTAGCCTCTCACAACCATGTTCCTTTCAGGAATCAGTTAAGTCGAGAGAAAATCAAACCTGTTGAAATTCAGTCGGCCCTCGTGAGGTATTTGAGAGCAAATCTTGCTGTTGAAGCAGACATACAAGCGTCTACTAGTCATTTTACGTAAACACTGTGCACTGCGCATGTGCAAACAAGGGAATTTTTCTTCTCCTTTTGGCTTCCAGACTGACAAGTCTGGCTAGCGTCATCTCTAGGCGTTGAGTCGGACGTTCGATTTTTGGATGTATGGTGTGTGCAGTTAGATCATATCAGAGCATTAGGTCATATAGTGTAAGGAAATACATTGTGAGCTGTGAACTTTTAAACCCTGTGGTTTTGTCGTACAGTTTGAGCTGTAGCTGAGTACACAGATTGAATCATTGTACAGTGTATGCCCGCCCTAACCCATAAAGACCAGCTCTTCCCAGTCTCTTCCTATTGTTAGATCCCTAACCAACAAAGTGGATAAAATCAGACTAAGGATCATCTCATGTAAGATTTACATCTGTATGGCAATCTTCATGTAGACCTGATTGGACAGTAGAATTTCAGAAGCCATGGTGGCACTTGTGGGCTGCGCTTTGTTTTGGACTAACAACTATAGCTCCAGGGAAGACCAAAGGCAGATGTTCAGCACTACACTTTCACAACTTAAAGCAACATCTGGCAGTGAGGAGCAGAGCATTGAAACTGTTTAGAGAAATAAGCTCTGTTATCATCACTGCAGCCTGCGTACCACATACCACCATACATTCCATCCCCATATGGAATTAAAGGCTGTGCTCCCCACGTTACACAAATTGATATTTTTTTCCTGCTATAGACTATGGTATAAAAGATTGTCTACTGCAACATTATATCAAGCATATAAGACTGCAGCATCTCCTACACTGGAATATCAGATCGTGTCTATATGGACCTGACTCAAGTCTACAATGTCTGATCTGTAGAACCAAAGCTTTCATCGAACCATTCAGGTTCGGACTGAAGGGACCTGCTAAGCCTAACGGGAGAGAACTAAAAAGAGCATATACAGCAGGCAATGTCCAGGTATAAGCAGTGCATCAAGGAGCCCTTCCAACAATGACAACCCCTACAGAAAGCAGATAGGCATAAGGTTCATCATAGATTTGAGGCAGAGTGACCAGCCACTCAGCCATACTCAGGCTCTTTTTGACACCTTAAACAGTTTATTCGCTTGTCTTGACACTCCTAGCAGTGGAAGGACTCCTAGCAGTAGAAGTAACTAGAAGGGAGTTAGGTGAAAGGAGACTGGTACAAGGGGGCAACATAGAGTAACTCAAAAAAGCAACTTTGCTTTAATCTTACACAAAATGGAAAAGAAACCATTGACCAACAAAACAGAATGACATACATAAATAACTAAATATATATATATATATATATTGTTAAGAGTTGTAACAATACACATTGAATTTATTAGCATTCTTTTTAAAATGTAATGGATTATAAAATTCCACATCAAGTAGAAATTAAGGTAAAAAATGCCGGAAAGGAGGCCATTTAAGAATAAGGCTTATAGGACCTAATACTTCCTATGCAAACTAGAACATATTGATTCTTATACTATTAAAGAGAGACCACAAGCAACATGCATCTTACAGGTCAGTCTCCACTCATTCTTGTCTGGATGAATACTGAAGCTTTCTCTGCTGTCTCAAACATATCCTTGTTGTTATTCATCTTGATCTGAAGTGTAGCAAAGAAATAAGAAGAAAAATCAACCCTCTCTTTCAAAGATACATTTTTACCCCTTGGAAGGCCTTCCTCTTGTTATTGACATGGTGAGAATAGTCTGGAAAAATCATAGAACTTGCTTCTTACCATGTGTACCATAAAGAATAGATTATGAACAGTTTAGTTTGTGCCCTCAAGTCGTTTGCCCATAGGAAGAAGTTACTTGGAACTTTGAACGGAATATCTTCAGAACAGCTCCAAATGACACAAAACTCATTTGAGTGAGTAGAACATGATGTAATGACGTAAAATCAAGGGCCTATTGTAAAAAAAAATAAACAGCGTTTCCCTTTAAGAGTCTTGCTCAGGTACCCAGAGTGGCAGTCCATGGGAGTGGGGCTTGAACTCTAAACCTCTGGGATCCACCCGCAACACCCTAAACACTAGGCCAAACCCCCCCCTTTGCCATCTTCTTCTGCAGCCATGCTTCTCCAAATCCTTGTACTGAAATATTTGTATGTTCCCCTATGGTTGCAGTCTGAGTACTGAATGTATCACAGGCACTCCCCAGGGCTCCAATTTAGGCCTCAGTCTACTCAATGTAGTAGCTCAGACAGTCCAGTCTCTTCCATTACCTCCACTTTGGCCAGTCGTCATTTTGCGTTGATGAGCTTATCGCTCAAATACCTTGTATCAATAGATTACTTTAAGCAATATGAACAAGTTTAATTTCTTTAATTGTCACAACTAATGCTGTTGACTATGTCCATCCGTTTATGACAATAATTACCATGATGCATCATGACATGAAGCTGAAATCAACTAAAAGTTTGGTGTCTCCCAAGGGCCCCAATGTTCTCAGTAGAACAGACAACCTTAAGATTTTCTTCTTGGTTATACAATCTACAAATCTGCAGCAACTGCATGATGCTAGCATGTCAGTAGTGATAAAAACAAATAGTTTGTTTCCAGCATCTTGTTCATTCTTGACTGAATGGAATTAGGGTAACCTGCACCTAGCAAAGTGTCCCTAATAATGGGGCCAATCTTTTTTCCCAGTGTTAATTTCTTCTTTGTTACAAGGTTACGAAGTGCCAAAGTAAAGTAAATAAAGGCCACTCAACATTTAACTGCCAAAACATTACAGTGATCTTTTGGTGTAGAGCCAGAATACTTACAAGCCAACCAGTCTGTAACTAATCAGAACCAACTGGTGGGAGTCTTGTCCTGCGAGTAGAGCTGAGCTGCATAAAGAAAAAAAGTCTAATCGAACTGTAAAAAAGAAGATAAATTACTTTTTTAAACAGTGAGTAGGGAGTATACATTAGAGGAGAGATAGTGTTTAAAAATGTTGAGGATTTTTCAGGCCAAGGAAGAGGCTTCTGTGATGTGATTCATACCGCATGTCAAAAAGCAGCAGGGAGGAGACCTTATGAGAAGACAGGAAGAACAGAGTGGAGAAGGGGTGGAGTGGGGAAAGAAAAGCCGGCCCCTCTTACACCACCTCGACTCCTTGGCACTGAGTGTCAGCAAAAAACCTCTAATGTGATCAAGATGCAAGTTTTCCATGGACGCCTCGCTGCTCCCTGGCTTTCCATCTGCCTTTGGCTGCTTCAGCACTTGTCCAGCAATCCAAGGACGAGGGTGACGACTGGACTCTCCAAGATCGCTCTTACTTTTTCCAACTAAGGACTGGATTTAGAGTGCGCTTTCATATATCATGTCCCTTGGAGAGAGTTGGATTAATATTTCCTGAAAAGTGGAGGAATTTCATCTTGCAAATGAATGAAAAGGAAGCCAATGGATCTCTCTGGATAATTGTTAAAACTTGTTTTATGGAATATACATGCATCTGCCAGAAAGGAAAAACAATCCAGATACCAGATTTTGTTGTAGGATGCTGTGTCATGTTTGGAGAATCTACAAGAAGTAAATCTGAGTATCTAACTTCAGAGGGGATTGACGATTGAATGTCAGTGGTTGGTTTAATGGGAATCAAGAGTGTGTAAATGATTTATATAAAATATTTCTGTTCATACTCTAAACAAAAATTACATTAAGCTTTATGCCAAAGGTGGTAAAAAGCTGATAATTCCGAGGTTATTTGTTGAAATGGTAACTTTTAAAAAATGTATGACTTTTTTCTGATTCTGAAAAAAATATCATTCAGTTCTAATTCTGATTCATTTTCTTAACATTTTTACCCTTTGGAAGTCAGTTTAACAGTCACATTTACATACTTTACCTAGTGTAAGCTACAGCTAAAGTAATATATTCTGAAGTATATTTTAAACAAAAGCAATAAGCTTACATAAAATCATGTATTCTGTTAGCATTGTGAGTGTTACTGGGTGATGAAATTCAGCTGATTGTCAGATGTTGTATTTTCCTTCATCTATGTAATATCCTTTTGTCAGTAGGTGATATGACAGCTCTGGTGTCAACATCCTAAAAGCAGAGAAACACTTTAGAATCTTTGCTTTGTCAGCTTTATCTGCTATAAAAATTTCAAAGCAAAAACATCTGTTTTGTCTCAGTGTAGCTGACTGTAGCCGGCAAGCTGCAGAGTGAAAATGGTAATGACATTGTTTTAAAAACATTTTGGTTTCCACCGTATGATCATCATAAAGAGGCTCCTTGACGTCTTATACTGGTCCAGTTTATTTCCCCTGTTACTTTGAATGCAGAGCAGTTGCAATCCTCGAACTTTCACCCACTGCTTCCTGTTAACTTGAGAAGCAGGACTTGATTTACCGTACTGTCATCTGGACATTCAGTTACTGTAAACCTATAACTAGTGAGCACTTGATGTTTGTTACTCCCATTTCTCCTCTCGATTACAGCGGATCTGTTTATCTAATTTAGCCAGCAGCCCTATGGGATAATACTTTGCCTTTCATCATGGCTGTTGCTATTCGGAAAAGAAGTTGGGAGGAACATGTGACTCACCCGTCGGGTTTACAATATAGCTATGATGATCTGGATCTGGTTTGCTGTCATGGAGTTGACAGCGAGGGTCTTTGGTTGGACTCTGAGGCTTTAAAACAGGGCCGGCGGACGAGGTGTGTCTCTATGCCAGAGGGCTGCCAGCTGCCTTCAGATGACTCAGGTCAGACGCCTTTGGATGAGTCCTTTGCTGTTAAAGATGTCAATGAATCAGCTAAAAACAATGAAGATTCTCTGTTAAAATTTCAGGAGTCAGTTCTCGAGTGTGTTGCTCCTGAACTTCCAAAGAGGAATTTCAAATCAGCACAACTCTCTGCCCCAAATACTGGGTTTTCTTCAGTCTTCTATTGTTACTCAAACAGTACGATTTCTAGTGTTAATACTTATTTTGCAACTGATAATCAGACTATGAAAACTTTCTACAATAAAGGGGTAATTGGCACAGAATGTAGACAGGATTGCATCTTCAGTGCTGATGTCTTAAACAGCCTTAAAGAGAAACAATACATTTCTATCCCTTCAAACAAGGGGCCTCCATGTTCTGAATCTGCTGATGAGCAGCCTGGCAAACTTCCAACTCATCAGCAGACAAAGGAGAGCCACACTGAGAGTTACAGCAGATCTCCTGAAATCTCTGAGGTCACACTGAACCGTGGCACTGCCGCCGAACAGGAACCTCAAAGCGACTGTGCAGATGTTGAAGGAACTATTTCCACCTCCGACCAAGCTTGTGGAAGGGAACTGTACTTTACGCAGCAAAATCCCATGGAGGGTGGTAATGAACTGTCACTGCCTAACAAGTCTTTGGAACAATTTTTGACTTTTACAATAGAGGAAAAATGTGACAATGGATTTACCCAAAGCCAGAGCACAGATTTTATTCACAAGTCGGGTGGACAAAATGAACTGGAAACTAAAAGTGATAATGAAGGCCTCAATAATTTAAGAACTGTTCAAGGCGAGCCAGACTATTCTAACCGTGCAAATGACTTAGATCAGGCTGATGACTGTGAAATCTATAAGGACATGGTGAACCTTCCCACATCAGCCCAACAGGAACTTCAGACCCACTGCCCAGAAGTTGAACGGATTATCTCCACCTCTGACCAAGCTGCTGTAGAAGGCCCTATTTTTGTGCTTCAAAATTCAGCTGATACAACAGAAGAAAATACATCAGTAAAGCAACAGATTGTGACACTTTCATTAGATCCACAGTATGACAAAACATCTAGTCAAAGCTGGAGCACCGTTCCTTCTCGCAGACTGGATGGACTGAATGACTCAGAAATTTTAAATGAAAATCCAGGACACCCTCATCACTCAAGAAATATTCAAGTGGACCAGGGTTCTTATAACTGTGCTGTGGCTTTAGATCACTGTAATGATTGTGAAACACTTAACCAGACACTGGTTGAGCCACATAATGTTGCAGCAACAGACGAGAGCTGTCCTCATGTGGAGGAAAGTGCAGAAAAAGAAGAGCCTCCTGACACATATCAGAATAAAGTCATAAATCAGTGTTTGACGTTGATCAAAACTGCTGAACAGCAGAGTACTGGAAATATAGAAAGAGAGTCGATACTAAAAAGTTCTATTTGGTGTGCAGATCATCAGAATGTGAAAACCTCCTTAAGTAGGTCAGTGGATGTCATAGTTCAGAACCCATTACCGAAAAAGTGGACTGTTTGCAAGGATGAAGACGTACCTCTCAATGTTCAAAATAACTCTTCAAAGCATGTCGCCATTCCAGAGATCCGCCTGGTTAAAGCAGATGACAACTCTTTGGTAAAAGCTACAGAGCAAGCTGTGGTTGATATTATTGAAAATCCAGTTTATAACATCCATCTGGATAATGAATACAAGACTACTGAGCAACAGATGAACCCTCCCTTCCTCTCTAAAGAGGTCAGTGAGTTGCTCCATGGCAACCAAACCTCTTGCCTGAGTGAATCACCTTGCTCTGAAGTGGCAGATGGTCACAACGAACATCACAGCCCAGGAAACACACTTTCTGCAATGGGGGAGCTGGATAAGGCTGTATTCTCAGCTGTTTCTAGAGACAAGCAACTGTCCAGTTCAGATATTGAAGGAACACATGAGACAGAAAATCAGAAGGAAGACAGTGTGGTCAAGGTACGGATGAGAAGGGTAAGTGCAATAAATCTTATTCAGATTTTGTGCACAGTGGTTCTAAGAGCATATCTGTTAAGAACGTAAGTAGTCCATACAGGCAATATAAGTCTAACAAATAACTTTTCCCTAAGAATTACCTACTTCACCATCACATTATTTCAAATCATTGTGAGGGGTTTTGTAAAATGTTTTAATGTTCCTCAACCCTTGGTTACAAAATAAGGTCCTATAAAGATGTGGAGGCTGGATTAGCAGAGGGAGTATTAAGTTTGTGCAATTTGTGAGATGTTTTTTTTTCTTTTTTTGAAGCGAACCCTGCACATTTTTCTGCTTACACTTTAATAGTTGCATGCTCAGTGCAATAGTATAATTTGAAAAGAAATATTGCTTTTTAGACTCTGAATTCCTGGAAAAAAGGAGCGGTCAGAGAATTTCTTAATCAACTGTAATATTGTATTTAAAATAGCAGGAAGATGCTTTGGGTTCAAACTTAGCAATACCTTTAAAAGAGCAAGTTTAAGATTATGAGAGGAACAATTCATATGCTGCATTTTCTGTGTTTCATGTTAAACTCTGACAACTTAGCTGAAAATTCCTTAAACATTATAGACGTAACTTAGTTAGAGTACCTTTAAAAATTATTTGCAATTGACACATCATAGCTAGACGTCACTGTATTTTTTTTTTATCTCTCACACAAAGTAGCACATATAATTGTGAATTGTAAGGAAAATGAAACAGTTTTCAGAGCTTAAGATTAGCATTGTGTGTTTAGGATGTACCTGTGGAAGGTACTGGATTAAGAGTTAAACCAAAGCCCAAATATGAGTCAGTTTAAAAACAGATACAAAACACTGGATGAGAATATAATATAGTGTAAAATTATCAATGGGGAATTAATTCTAGGGAAGTTGCTTTTGCACATTTTGGCTGTATTGTAAGCAAATATAATATTTCATTTTGGACCTTCAATGCAAATGAATAAGATTGTCAAAGTTGCTCATTCTAATTAGATTCATTTGATTTAATGCAATCAATTCAACGGAGGAAAAAAACATTTGAGTTTTACTTCCACATACTGCTTTTTTTCTACATTTCCTTTCTATATTTGTGGAGAAATCCATTTTATTTGATTTAAAATGTTGCTGCAAATTTGAAATATATAAATGAACAAAGAAGGAAGTCTTGGAGTCTCTGCTAAGACTGCTGCCCCACCCTCCTGGATAAAGTGGAAGTTGACGAGTAAAAGTACGAGTAAACCAAAAAATAGAAATTTCTGTCTAATTGCTTGGTATGAATCCTGTGAAGTTCTACTTTATTCATTTTAGTTAATTATACCAGTTCAGTCAGACTAGATAGTTATGGTCTGTAAGCATCTACAAGTTCACAAGGGAATTTATGCATGGACTTTTAGTAGCTCAAACTAATAGTTTAATATGCCTTCATCTAACAGGGATGTCAAACTCAAGTCCTCTAGGGCCCGTACCTGGCCACGTTTAGATATCTCCCTGATCCAACACCTGAATCAAATAGCAAGATTGCCTCCTTAGTTTAATTCAAGTTCTAGAGTCCTGAAAAGGACTTAAATATTTGATTTAGGGCTGTTAGAGCAGAACACAGGACCTAAGACTGGATTCAGCCATGATATTTTCTGGGCATCCTAGATGGTGAATATCAGTGCCCATCTCAAGTCAGTCAGAACCTCCATTAGGTTTCCTTCATGTTTGCACTGTATTTAGCTCAGTCAATTTTCTGGTCACCCCTGAATATCTTGCTTGTCTCTACAGAATCAAAGCATCCTGCTAATATAATGGCTTACCTTTGCTGTCTCTCCAAAATGTATTTTGAAATTGCTGAGCTATAGCTGTACTTTGAGAACATTCTGCATCTTACGGAGTGGATCTTTTCATCTGTTTTTGTTTTCAAAACAAAAACAAGGCTTTGTTGGTCTACTGTATAAAACCTCAAACTCAATGCTATTCCTGACATTTTGAATTGAAAAAGCTTCCTGGATGGGGAGCAAAACATCTTCAAACTTGGAAACCAAGTCCAGTGGATTGTTTTTGATTTTTTTGAAAAAGAAAAATGGTTCAAAGTGTAAATAAAAACTTGTATACGGTACTATAGAAGTGGGAAAAGTAGCCTGTGAAGTACTGTGTATGTCCATGATTTGTACTTTGCAACAATGGGGTTTAACTTTCTTAGAAATTTTAAACGATATCTTAAAGGTATAGTGGAGGATGTTCTTTTACTGGGTGGATCATCAAAAGAGGTGGTCCTCCTAATTGTACATCATTCCAGTGATATGTTTACGTAAGGCCGTCCTATGTGCTTGTCCTCATTTTTGCTTACCGGTGGTGAGTCTAACATAGTGGAAAAATTGCAAATCTTCTTTTGGAAACTAAGCTTGTATGAGTGATGCAAACAGCAACTTTTAAACATAGTGTGCACAAGGAGAAATGGGCTTGTGCACGCTGTCACAAGCGTTTAATAGGCGTTCCCTCTCAGGAGGGGGTTGCATATGCAAGGGTTGCATATGCATATTTCATTAAAAATGGAGAGGGTGGGTCTTTTCAAAAATTCATGAAAATCTTCCACTAAATCTTTAATGTCTTTATTTCTGATACTAGGATTTTTTTTTTATTATTATTATTATTTATAAGAATTTTACTGCCTTTTCACCCCTTTAATGTTTTGGTTTAAAAAAAAACAACTTAAAAACTGATCAGAGATGTATATTAAAGATTTAAAATGCCAAAGCTAAAATACTTTATAATAATATCCATCCAACATTGTGTAATAACTTTTCTCATCATATCAAGGAAATTTAGTCAGAGGTAATGAAAATATGTAAACTTAAAAAAATAAACATTGGTTTTCCTACAGTTAATAATGGACAATGTCTAGTTTAAGAAGGCAAAATCGAAAGAGTGACAAATTTTTTTTTTAATGTAAATATTTCTTAAAGGCTGCAAGAAGCTGGAAGGATCTCCTGTGCTCAGGGATGATGTAGTCCTCAGTCCACCATCTGGGTGTTGCAGGTTCAGCTTATAAAATGAAGCCATCTGGTTTTCAAAATGGCTTGAGATTAAACTGATATTGGCTTTTGTTTCTGTGTTTATTTGTTTTAGCAACAAGGCTTATCCTAGCCCTCAGGGCCAAAATGGCTCAACTGTCATTTATCTCAGACCAGATGACTTGGCAAACATCCCCCTGAGTGCTCTCTGTTACTTAGCCTTTCTGTTTACATTATAAAAAATGGGAGAAAGGAGAAATGTACAGAATCTGAAAGAAAGGGCGGGACAACATCTTCTGATAACATCCAAACGCTGCTTTAGATACATCTGAATTTCTCCTGTTCACTTTTCCCTTGCACTGCATTTTGGTGGTTGTTATTGCCATCCTGGGACGGATACTTTTGTTCATTCACACAGGCCTCGTAAAGATGTCATTGTTTTACTGTGGTACAATGTTTCATTGTGATACTTTGCCAAGGACACTGAGTGTAGTAATGTGAAATCCCTTTAGCTAGGAATGCTGCTGAATGCATCAGTGTGGTGCCATTATGTGACCTGATTATTTGCACCCTTTGGAAACCCACTAAAAACATGTTTTTTTTAATTGGGCACCAACAGCAAAATACATTCATGTGATATGTTCAGAAGGGTCGAGGAAAAGCGCAAAGCTACAGCCAGGAACAATCAGCCCCACACATTAACATTGCCCGCATTTCATAGCCAGTTAATGTTGTCATCCATACACACCCAGTTTTAACACTGATCTCAGAAGACTGAGCCACAGTTACCACTACAGGGGATGTTTTCATTTTCAACGGATGTTTTCAATTAAATGAATAAAAACCTTACTTTATCCCAAATAACACAATTAGTTTTGCAGGAAACGGTCACAACATAAGAAGCAGACCTACTGCTGCAAGTTTAATGCACATATAATCAAAAGCTGTGTTTGTGTCATAAATTGTGCCTTGTTAAATATTTACAGGCATCTGTCATGCCGATTAGGCCAGCCATTAAATTTGTTAAGGGTAGTTTTCTGGAGATCTCCAGTCTCAATTGTACGCCCAGAGATACAATAAGAGATGAGTAGATGGAAATAAAAATATGTTTGAAAAACTCCAGGAGGAGAATTTTTCAAGCGTGCAGTGTTTATTGCTTTATTCCATAAGAATGGTATTAAGTAGATAGTAGATAGTAGGGCTGTTCAGCTTGTCTTACTGAAGTGAAACCACCTGAGGTCAGTGTGACTCTTGTTATACAAGGATTAATTAGGCGAGGAATGCAGATATGTTGAATATCAGAAATGCTTTAAGGACTGTTGCAGATCGTTGAAAGATTTTTATCTAGGTATGCAAAATACCTTAAATATTTTTCTAACAGATTGGTTTCTTTATTTAGCGTGAACATGCTCGTTTGGATTCCATGGTGCTGTTGCTAATGAAGCTGGATCAGCTGGACCAGGAAATTGAGAATGCCCTCAGCACCACCTCCTCCATGACCAGTTCCCCTACTCCTAATCGCCGTCATCACCTGGTACGTCAATTTACTCAACTTAGTTCTTACTATTTCTTCTTAAAACGTATTTAGTTAATTAGGGGAGAACACAGACACAGAAGTTTACAATGTATGCAATATCGTTCCAGAGATTGGTTTATGAATTTATTGTTGAGACCCTATAAATGCATTCTTTCTAAGACAGTATATATATATATATATTTATTAATTGCACAGTTATGAGCAAATATTTAATTTATACCAGATAGCTGACATGTTTAGTACTCACTGTAGTACCCAAGTGTAAGTGGGCATCCAAAATGTATAAATTCTTTAGAAAGAAGAATTTGCTTTAGTTATACATTGAGTTAAAGTTTGTTGGAAGAAACAGACACCCATGTGCATATAAATGCTCTTACTGCAACAGCATAATCTTTAATTACAAAAAAAAAACACTAGTGCACAACTGGTGAAAAAACTATCCTTAAGAACAAATATATCTAAAACCATACAGTTGAACAGAGCTGATATTCCACATTAGTAACCCGTGACTTCATCCATACACTAATATGACCATACAAATAGGGTTGTTTCTTTTAATATCTGGTCACACAACTGCAACATTAAAAAACCAAGTGGCATTTTTCAAAAATAATAGAATTATCAAACAGAATATACAAAACCCTGCAGTTTGTGAAACTCTAGGAGGACTATAGTCGGAGCCTTGTGTTTTGGTCATATAGTAAAATTGAGCTTCTTTAAACCCTATTGTTTGACATTACCGTAGACATGGGATCTTCAATAATATTTTGTCTCTATCAGTCCCACAAGCTTTATGAGATTGTATGGCATAATACACTCTTAAAATACCATAAGATCTAAAAAAAAAAAAAAACTCTGATTGGCACAACTAGGAGACAGACAAAACTGAACTGCTAAATCAGCATAGGCATTGTTTACGAATGCAAAATCAGCTTTCTTACCATCTCACTACTTAACTAAATTCTCTAAAAAAATTAGGGAGAGAGCTGAAGACACAGGGTATAGAAGAGATACCATTACTACAGATTATCTAGGCAGATTGTGAGGATTAGCCAACGATCCTTTTAATGTGGAAAACGGCGAAAGACAAAATTCTGTCCTTTATCTAAAATGCAGATATTAAAGATTTTGACAGGAGGGGCCGCCAGTAAGTATGCAAAATGCAATTACTTCTAAACATGGAATTTTTAAGTTTAGATTAGGATGTTTGAATTTTTTCTGTGTGACATTATGCTACAAAAAAATGAAGGACCTCATCAGAGAGGTGGTCATTGATATAGCCTGCAATTTATGCCTCAAATAAGAAGCAAAAAATTAAGCTCTCTTTTCAATATCATATTCCAAGCATAAGTTTGTCTTTCATTTGTTTGCAGGTGACCAATAAAGAGCAAACACCGGCAGCTTTGCTGACACTCCCACTTCCAAATGAGACCACTGCCTTCTCATCAAGATCTGCAAAAATCTGCAAACCTAAAAGTGGCGTAAGTCATGGGGTCAGCATCTTTGCAGAGCCTGTTATACAAATTTGGTGACATGTTTTGTGCATTATTAAATTATGTAATTCACATTCACAAAAGCATTAAATAAGTTGGTAAACAGTTATAGTTTGATTCTTTTGCACATTTTTTTTTTTTCATGTGCCTAGCCATGGTCATTCTTGGCTTGTAGAGCGGGCTTTACTTCACTATATCAGTAAGATTATCAGAATAATTGTTTTACAAGATGTTTTGTTAGTAATAGCTTACTGACTTTGCTCCTACAGCCCCAGAATCGTGTTTATATTAAGATTTAGTTTTATACTTTTTCAAACATAAAGGCAGCTTAATCTGCACACAATATGTTTTTGATGACTAGACACTAAATAAATTATATTCCCTTCTATAACAAGAATGTAAAACATTGTTTGAAATATTAAAGTTCAAAGAACACCCAAATTAAGACATTTAATGTAATCAAGTGCTACTAAAAACATGGCTGGAGGATATTTACTGAGCTAATTTTCAATGTCCTTATTGTCCATATTTACCATATTCATGTCCTATATCAATATGGTAAATATATACTAAAAAACAGGATTAGAAGGAAGCAAAGAGATGAGGCCCAAGTTTTCTGTTTAGATACAAGTTAATGGATAGTTTTGCAAGGTGGTGTTTAAAAAGGATCTATTTATTGGGATAAACTGGTTATTTATTGTGGCATTTAGTGTGTTATATATATCAAGTGAAAAAAAAGAAAGAGCAAGACAGTTGAAAGGAGAAAGACATTGACTTGGTAAGCTATTTGACTTAGTTATGAAGATCTATGATTGATCTAGAGATTTGTAAAGACGCTCCTCCTTGACAGTGTCTACATTCTTCGAATATTTGTTAACATAGAGGATACCACACGTCTTGCTCATGTCATTTATCACCCTTGATAACGTGATAGTCAGTAAATTGTTTGAATAGTAGATATCATAATTACTGTTATAGAAACATTTCCTCAAGGGACACATGTTCCAACAGTTCTGACTAAGCCCTATAGGTAGCTGTTTTCGCACTCGGCTGGTGTTCACCAATCAGGAAGCTAGTAATCTGATTTGCAATACTGCGGTGAATTGAAATTCTATCTGTCCAAAAGCATTGCAAATTGCTTTTGGACAGTCTTTTTAACAGTGCATATTATGTATTCTGATAAAACTTAGATGGAAAATTCATTTACATATTTTGTATGTTTTCTGGAAAATCTAACTTGAGGGTAGCTATTTGGTTTTAATACTATTGTAATATTTTTGCATATAGCATTAACTTATAAAACATTGTATTTTGGTATTCATCTCTTTTTTGAGTTATTATGCATTATAGATTATTTAAAAAAACAAATGCACTGATCTAACTGGTAAAATAGTAGCTAAGGAATCAGCCATTAAGAGCACATTATGCACCAAAACTGTTTCCCTTTTTTTTTTTCATCAAGCTTAAATCTTCTAACACAAAACATGTTAAACCCTGCAGCAGATGAGCTACAGGAGCAGACCACCCTTTGTCCCATTCCTGTCAACTAAGGGTGAATTCTCCCTGCCGGTTCAGTCAAGGGATTAGTTAAAGTGAGAAAATACCAACCCGGAGTCCTTTTACATTTTCTTAGGCCTAGCAAAATAATGTTACAACAGTCACAGTTGACAATTTACAGTTACAACATTTATTTTAGGGACAGTACTGCTTAAATATTCCACTGATCAAGAGCAAGAAAAGCACAAAGGATAAAGTCTGTCTCAATGTTGCTACTTTGGGTTAAAATGTAGTTTTGTGCATGCAACCCTTATTTATATAACCCTCATGGAGCTTTTCAAACTATTTCATCTTCTGATTCAAGCTCTATCCTTCTTTCAAATGCTCTCTTCCTGCTTTTGGTAAATATTCACACAAAGTTAAATATCCCTTGGCTTTAGATAAACTATGCAAAGATGGACAGTTGCCACTCTGCCAAGTGAAAATGCATTTTTATGATCCACTGTAGAAACCAGTTATGTTTTTAACAATGCTCGCAAGGTTTGATGGGAAAGCACCATACGAACAAGAAACTGAGGCTGTGGATGAGCCAGGAACCCTCATGTGTAGTGGTTCGACTCCTGGCTCTAAAGATGCCTTAGGCTACTGGTGGGGCCAAGGTCCTCAAGGCATTAAATCCTTTTCTGGTCCCCTTCACTTTTTTTCTGTCCAAAAACAATGTTGTGCTACATTACACCAACACACACTGAGCACTAGCACCTAACGGAAAACCAGAGCACAAGCTGAAGACCACTTCCCTGATTTAAGACTGCCTACAAGCTCCTGATTGACCCTCCATCTTTTCTTGTATGATGGGCTGTCACTGCTGTCACTCCTGAGAAACTCACTCTAAAAAAAATCTGATGCGCCACTGAATCGGGTCTGTTATTGGATGGTCACAGTGTTGCTGAAGCCCAATGGGATACTGTAATTACAACTGTAGGGTCACAAGCCTTTTTCTCTGCTTTCTGGTATGTTTTGGATTTTTGAGATCTTAAAATGTCTAGGAGTTACAGTCTTAGAGAAAAACATTGGTCTGCAAAATATGACAGTTGGTGAGGGAGTCTGCTACTGTAAATTAGGCATTTTTTCTTCTCATTGGGTCACGTATTCTAGAAGTTGCAATATCAGATGTATTCATTTACACAAATCTTTAAATTGGTATAATGTACGCACATATGATAAACACCACCAATAAACACCACAGTGAGTAATGCTTCCTAGCAACTTCAGCATATACCCATGTCTCATTCATTGCAGGGTTTGGGGAGGTTTAAAGGTAAAACTATATTTTGTATTTAGACTTGTTTCAAATGACCACATTTGGAAGGACCTGCTTTTCTACATGACCTAGAGTGGCATGTGTATTAATGTGAGTATTTCTTGGTGAAAAATTAAGAGGCATAAATCCTGTAAATCTGAGGAGGGTGCCAAACAGATGGCTTTTATACATAAAAACAAGATTGTCATAATAATTCCCAGGATATGTAGACAGCAATATCAGACATTGATGAATGCAAATTATTAGCTAAATAATACTGGACTTAAACTGAATGTGTTGCGACTGCAGTGGGCACCGCATGGAACCCAGATCATTGAAATTCATTTGTACACGCATCAGCCATGGCACAGTGTGGTTATGGTTACTGAAGCTGTACAAATCAAGTGTTTCAGCTAGACTTTCAGAACAAAATCAACCCAAGCTAGCTTTACTAGCGAGACAAAAGAGGGAAAACAGAAACAGAGGTTCTATTGGACAATGAACGGTATGTTTTTGTGCACCAATAAGAAGTTTTACCTGACAACTATTGGAAAGAGCCTGAATCCATTTCAACTTTTACTAATTTTTTTAAGCACCATTTCCACAGCTGTAACCACAGCAGAGAAAATCTGGTTGCAGAGTTCATTGTGAGTGACTTTCGGTAGCACTTCCATACCATGTTTAGTGTGAGCTTGGCGTAAAGGCAATTTTGGAGTGGATTGTTCTTTAAGGACCGCTTCAACTTTTACATTCTTAACATAAAACCATTATATGTTGCATAAGCAGGTCACATTATTGTTGCTGGTGCACTGATTAGAGAAATAATTTCTTAGATTACTTTATCCCTTAGTACCAACAGAGCACTATTTAAACAGGAAAGTCTCCCTCAATATTTTGCCCCACTACTCAGTAGACGTTGCAACCCTCTTCTAATGGCTGCTTCCAGCAGAATAATTCCAGCAGTATAATGAACCATGTCACTGTTTTTTTTCTCAGACTGGCGTCTTGATTGCAACAAAGTTCAATCTGTGCCAAAAGTCTTCATATCTAATTGGAATAAGGCATTTATGGATTATTATGTAAAGGGAGATTTACATGATACCAATAAAATCACAGTAACTATCATGTCGGCATGGTCCAAAGTCTCTAAAGAAATGCTTCAACCACCTCGTTGAAAGGAAACAGCTCTAAAGGCATTAAGAGGTCCAACCCCTTAAGTTAGTCTCTCAGCTGTAGGAAAGACCCTTTACTCTTAGGAGCTAACCAAGCAGAAGCTAAGAATCTATAATTAGCTGCTTGCAAAGATCTACCGCCTTTCACTCCTACAAAGGGGTCAGAAGGGGGAGTCAGGAAGGTGAAAAGCCCTTGCGGGGGGAACAATGGGGACACGCTTCAAGTGAGACACGTCTTTATGCCCCTTTGCTTGCTCATTTTATGATTAGTCAACACTGGTTCAAAAAGTAGTCCTAAAGTCTGCGAACATGGACTTTACCGGTCTGTATCTCACCATAGGAGAACAAGGAGAAGAACCATAAAAGTGAAAAAGGATGTTTCTGCCGCCAAGCAGTCCCCTTGTTAAATAGAGACAGAGAGGCAATGTTTTGTTGACCAGAAATATACTGACTTAAATGACATTCCTCAACTGTCTTTGCATTATCATTTTGACTGAGACGTCTCTTCCTGGATCTTATTACTTTTTAGATGGAAGATAAGTGCATCATGTACAGCACATTTAACTGCAGCAAGCTACTTATGACTGCATTTATTCAAGGAAACTCACTAAACTTTGGTAAACATTATTTTCATTGTGCTTAATAGGAAGTCCTTGGGTGATTGATTAAAGCCAAACGTTGATGACTTTGTAAAAGGATTTTGAGGTAGTAATTAGTTTCAAAGAGCTGTTGAGCCCAGAAAACCAGTGACGCACACTTAATCTATTCAGCTAGACAAAACAAATCTTCTAAATGATGTAAACACGAGACATACGTGAGTCGAGGAAAAGCACAAGTTGAGGTTAGAACCTCATTTCAGTCGCCTGACTGTTAAGGTTTACAAGATGATATGCTGAAGTTAAAAAGACATCATCTATAATTAGTTGAAATATTCAGAGGCAGGAGGATCTCTACGAAGAAAAACACTGCTTTGTTCAGAGTAAAGTGAAAGGCATAAACCTGGCAATTAGAATGTCACA